TTACTTTTCGCACAAATATTTTTTAACTTGAAAATGGTGCCAGGATGACACCGAAACGTCGTTGCTCAGTTTTTTCGCTAATCTTTATTGTTAACTAAATAGAACAAAAGTCAATAATATCGGGAATAATACCTAGATCATTTATTACTAACTACTGTCACTTAAGAGCCTTTCTGTTTTTTGGTTTAGTAAATTTTAAAGGTTGCCCAGAAATTTATTATGACACAATTACCTTAAACATTTACACAAAATTACATTTGCTTATGTGCTTGAAAGTCACTCTAAGATATAAACAAATTTGACATCTCATGTGATACATAATTTCAAGTAAAAAAAAAATTATTATAACTAAATTCTTTTTAATTTTTTGTTCAAGTGTCTAAAAACATTAGGCTCAAATCATAGCTGAAATACCAGAGTCCTCAAAATGCTCCACATTCAGGAATAGGCCATATTCGTATTCTCGGTATTTGACTGGAACTAGCTTCAAACGGAGGCTTGTGCGGGGGAATATCATTAAAAAGCAACAAATGTCATTTGCATTAGAAGACTCCCTGCATTAGCCTCAGTTGCAAGCTAGTTCCAGTCCAATATGGAGAATACGAATATGGTCTATTGGACAGGTTTTTTAATCAGTGAGACAATAGAATCATTTATGGCCAGGAAAGCTTCAACAATTTTTCTTCTTACATGTGCAAACTGAGAGCACTCTTCACATCTCACTACCAATTGTTGAAGCCAGCTATAGAAAAATGTTTTACACTCAAACATTGTGTTTTTCTAGAAAATATCCATACCCTCCCCATGGAAAGTTTTTTGGTTTGAATCTCCCCCCTGATGCATTCCACATAAGCTTTATACCTTCCTTTGAAATTTGTGGCTTGAGGCCTCCCTCCTCCCTCAGAATTTCCAAATATGACCTTCCATGGGGTGAGTACATTGGATATTTTCTGGAAATGCACAGTGGTAGGTTTCTTGTAATGTGGTGGCAGATGCTGAGGTGTGTAAAGGAGGTGATCTGAAGCTATGGTAGGCTCTCTCTGTACTGGTAAGAATGGATTTTTGGCCCTTTGAATCTAGTCAATGTAAAACACAGACTGCAGACTGTGGACTGTCGAGAGTGAAATTCTGCTCTCTGCTTAGCCTGAAAAGTGCTCCAGTTAGCCTGAATATCACTTAGGTAAACCTATGTCTATTACATGACTAGGCAAGATAAACCAAATCCTTTGCAGCTGTGATTGGCTACCCTAGCAGACAAGATGGCTTCTTGCCTGCTCAGGATTACTAGCTGTGTCCGGCAAGAAAATAGGGTTCTTTTTCCATGTAATAGATAAACACGGAAAAAGTACTTGGCCAATATCCAGGCATCTTGACTGAACAAGCCTGGTCAATAACCCATATATGATGCTCAGGTCAGCTTGTTCTAACAGTAAGCTCTCAATAATGGAAATGGTAACACATTATACCCCTGAAAACTGTACAGTCTACATTATGCCCCTGAATTGCAGTCTTCATTTTATTAGTATGCATTTTACACTGACTTATTTAGATCAGGTATCTGCTACAAAAAACGGTAGCCTGAACCCCCCCCNCTCCCCCACCCCCAATTATGCTGTTAGTCTGCACTCATCTCAAAATATTGATTCACTGTGAACTGGGGAACACCAGTAAATTTTAATGGATGAATTTTTGTCCTTAACAGTATCAGTGTTTCAAGCACTCAGTGGCACTGCTAAATCCAAACATGCACCAAGTTCCCCCCCCCCCCGCCCCTTCAGAAGTCCTCCCACTTTTAAATCAGCAGCCACTGTGACAATAACTAACCTAAGTTGTGATTTTGATATATGATTGGGTTTCTTCAGATAATATTCATACCTCTCCCATGCAAGGTTTCTCGATTTTACCCCTTCCTCCCTACTCACCCCTCTGGAAACTCTAGTTTTGCTTGATTCTTATATTTACAAACTTAAGACACTCCCTCCCCCTCGGGATCTCAAATTACCTTCCTTGAGGTTGGCCTGGATATCATTTTAGAACTGCATAATGCACGCGATGTTAATTCTATTTTTTTTACTGCTAACACGATGATTTTCCTAATTTTAGTGAAGGTCGCAGCACTTCCGTAGCATCATATGTGACTCACGATGAAGGAGTACTCCCTCTCTGTTACCGTAGGCGTCCGTAAAATGAATAGGTAACGACGCTTAACAAAATCAGCAACAATGGAAGGATAAAGTACTTGGCTTTATGCTTCAGTTCTTCACCGTACACGGTAATAGATCCGAATCCACCCGACCCACCCATGTTTTCGCGAGGAAACTCCACCGGAGGAACTTCGACTCCAAGAAAGTCACACAAGGGACCCCACCCTTGTTTGACGTTGAAAACGAGTAATTTTGAAGCTGGTACAACCGCTTTCACTCTCTCGTTGTGTTCGTTATACCTCTTCTTGAACAAGAACTGTGAATCGGGGTTCACACTCCCATAGACGGCCGTATCTTCCGCATTGTAGCAATCCAGCAGCTTGCGAGGTTTTGGGCAAAACAGATAAGCTATTTTCGACATGAGTCCTAAATCTCGCGTCATATGGAGATGCTTCGCCCAGCTTTGCACCCAGACATCGTCATTGTCCCGCACATTCAAGATTACCTTCGCTTCTGGAAAACAAGCGAGTATTTCCTCGAACCAAAACGCTGCTGGTAGATCCGTCACGCCATCCACATCTGCGTACATGGAAGCGAAGTCAGCCAACCTTCCATCGCCGCAGAACATATCGATCCATTCGTCAAGGTGCAAGTCCATGTGTTCTGGAAAATCGTAGATTTTATATCCAAGTATCCGTAAGGCTCTTGCTAGGGACTTAGTACCGGTTTTGCTCAATCCAGCACAGATTACTTTCATCTTCCAATTTGTCAATTTTTTGTCAGGGGTTCGTACATGAAATACTTTTAAAGTAGACTACGAGTAGTCCCTCTTTCGCTTCGCTTAGTCCGTCGTGCGTGACGCGAAAGAATTCGTGAGAAAAAAATGGCCGCGCGAAATCCTGGGTACTAGGAGCGCGCGAAAGGAGGGACTACCGCCTAAGCCCAAGAGTTTGCCCTTTCACGGCCGAGTGATTTTTCGGTGTAGGATTTTTCATCTTGACGTCCTCTTATTATCGCCTGTTATCAATAGCCCCGGGAGATCTGAATAAAATTGCTCTACTCTACTCTTCAAGTAGCCAGGCAAAAACATATGCCGTGAGAAGTATATCTTCGTTCAGTGTTCGTTCAGGGAAACTGTCGAAGAAGTTTTAAAAAGAAGACGGCGAATGAGTACGGTGGCCCATAGGGGCAAAACACAA